GACTTTGGTCCAGAGTCTGTGGTCTCTGCTCAGCTCCCAAGAAACTCCTACTCACAGAGGTTCATGCCCTTCTTAGGGGGCGGGGGCACTGCCTGAGGAAGGGGAGCGGAAATCCAGCCATTGTTCAGAGGGACCTGCGCCATGGACTGGGGCCATTGAAAAGCTGCCCACCAGTGGGAGGCTGTTGGCTACAAAAGCCTCATTCATTGTAATCCATTTTGCAGACACCCCGCAGGATTTATGAGCACCTCTCTGCAGACACCCAGCTCTGCAGGAGAGAGAATCCTGGCCAGGCCTAAAGCACAGCTCTAATTCCTTCTGATGAGCACTAATTGGGAGTATCCCATGAGCAAATGGACTTGCTGTGGACCTCTCTGCAGAGTGGACCTTCTTCCCTGAAAACCGGAAGAGGCAACTGTAGGAAAAGTGTGTTTCATCTTCCTGCTGTGCCTAATTCCCAAGCTCCCTTCTTTCTAATCATGTTTATTTGAATGTAAGAATGTGGTAAATGTCAGAGTGTCATGAGAGGAAGGTACGATCTAATTTATTTTTGCAGGGGGAGAAAAAAAGTGGGACCTGAAACACCTATTTAAATCAGGTCCTCTGAAATGATTAAATAAGAGGGATAAGAGGAGAACATAAGTGTAAAATACAGCTCAAGAGGCCTGGTGCCAAAGAGTCAACCTGCTTATTACACCGAATGCTGTGAATAATTTATCACATTTTTACCCTGCATTAAGGACTGTTGAGGATTAATCTTTGGTTTATTTGCCGATTATGTTAACCCCTACCTGCCTTGCTCTGCAGTTTCCTGCAGTAGCTTTGCGGAAAATCTCTTGGATTGGATAGCAATAACTAGCCTCACTAACTAGTTCCTGTCAGGAGCCACTGGGAGCAGAAAGGCCCCGTGTTACCTGTTTCTGGGTTATTTTTCTCCCCATAACTGTCCAATCCTGCCAGGCCTGGGCTTCCCCGGTCCTATCCCAAGTCCTTTCCATCTCACTTATTTTTTATCCTCTCCTTTCACAGCCACCTAGGTTGACCCAGGCCCTTGCCCCTCATGCTGGACTTAGGTGACAGCCTCCTCTCTGACCTCCTCATCAGTACCCCCTTCTGCAGTTTATCTTCCATATGGCTAACTTCCCTGAAGTCCAAGTTTCACCTCAATCTTCCTGGGTTGAACCCGGGGATGATTCTCCCTTCGTCCATCTCTCGAGGCTCCTCTGATGTGGCACTGCCATCTGTCCAGTCTCACCTCCGACTCCTCTTTCCAGACCCCATCCACTTAACAAACCCACCTCTATGTACCCGGAACGGCCAGACTCTCCCACTCTGTCTGTCTTTGCTCTCCTCTGCAAAGGAAGGGCGCCCTTTTTTTCCCCATCCTGCCGCCCTGTGGTAGCACTAACCCCTGAGCTTTCCCTTCCTGTAGCTGCCATCTGCTCCCGTGGGTGCACCAGGGGCACCCCTGGAGTGGGGACTCCAGCATGTCTGCTGGGAGAGACTTGGAAATAGCAAAGTGGTTGGAAGCAGGGGCCTGGGACTTGTCTCAAAGTGGTGGTAGGAGCTGGCTGATTCTTTACAGATCAATAAAAAGAGCAAATTCTAAAGAAGGTTTGTACTCACATTTTCCATAAACCTCAGAAGACATTGATGTCCACGGTGAAGACATGATTTTTACTTAGTGTTTCTTGAGGGTGATTGAGGACGGGGAAGGGGATAAAGTGCACCTCTTCCAAGCCACTCCTTGGTGCTGTGATGGCCCTTGCACTACTAAAGGAAATGTGAGAGGGTATTGACATGAGTCATCTGCATACAAAAGCAAAGAGCACCTACTAGGCACCAGAATTATTTGCAGTTCTATGGCCCCAAGCTTGGGGACATTTATGCTCCTCATCTCTGGCCATCTTATTTGGTATTCTAGACATCTTGGGATAACAAGATGTGCCTGTTTTTTCCCAGGGCAGCAGCCTCTGGGGCTCAAAGGCAAGTTCATGGGGAATCACAGCTCTATACACCTCCCACCCCTCTCAGGTGCTCCTGGCCCAGCCGTCCTCAAGGGACGAGGCTTTATAGGGCCACCTTCTCATCCATTTCCTTCATTCCCACTTGAGACCCTCCTAAACTTTACCTGACACCTCAGAATTGCTGGATCATTTTCTTTGTCCATTTTCAGCTGTATCTCTTAATTCAAGTCTTTTAGAATGAGGTAGGAAATGATGGATGAAGAGGTGAGCACTGTCCCTTGTCTTTCTTGTCTGCACAGTAAAATATCAGTAACTGCCCACAAAGTGACCTTTCCTGTCCATTGTCTCATCTCAGCCCCAGGTGCAGGGGGGTCATCCTTCCCTAGGGACCTCAGCACACCCCAGGTTTGTTCTTGAGCCAGGCTCAAGGCTGATGTTTACACTCTTCTGTACCAAACGGCCTTCACCAGTACTGACCTACATACTTTCTTGGAGAAGAGACCAGGGACAGGTTTGTGAGCCCAAACAGAATGACAGCTTTCAAGTAGGTCCTCTCCAGGGTGAATAGCTCTGTCTTATTCCAGGAATGCAGCTGAGAGCTTTTTTCTCGTCCTTCACTCTCATGGCTGCTTTACTGACTTCCTGGTTGTACCAGTTATTTCCTCTCGGCTTCCTGCCAGACCCATTCCCGGCTAGGGATTCAGCCCATGTGCCCAGTGACACCTGGGAAACAGCTGTAGGTGACCCAGATAGTTTGTGTTCGGGGCCAGCCCAGGCCATCCTGCAAGAGGCAACCCACAGAACCAACAATGGACAGTCCCAGGAGCTCTGCAGCTGGCCAGAGAGGCAGAAGCAGGTGGCTGAGTGCTCTGGGGTTGCAGCCCAGGCTTAGAGAGGCCCAGTGCAGGACTGCAGGAATCAGACACCCAGGGATGCCCAGCTCCAGAGCCTGATTCAACCTGTACTCAGATAGGGACCCCTGACCCGCACTCCACACCTCGCCAACATCTGAACAATCAGCAATGCCTGTAGACTAAGAATTACTCCACATCAAGGAAGCAGAAGGGAAGGAATCTAGAGATCTTAATGAATTCTCAGCACTGGAAGAAAGGATTAAAAATCAGGTAGAGAAGAGGAAAATCCTCACGTGCGACAAGAGGAAGTATAATTAAAATAGCAAATCACAGTTCAGCAGGGTGGAGAGGTCCAGTGCGGGGACAGATGAGTGCAAAGACCAAGGGACACTCAGTGAAGCATCTGACAGAAATGATTCCTGGGGCTGTTCTGAGAGACAAAAATCCATCTGGAAACACAGAAAAGGAAATGAAACAAGAATTTGCTGCATTATTTAAAGCTTTCGGGGGGAGGGGGGACATTTCGGGAGAGAGGAGGCTGAGGGCAAAGAGAATGAAATTGCTCTACCAAAGGGGATTAAAGGAATCATAAGGGCTTTTAAAAATGACTCAGGCAAGAAAAGGGATGCAAATAATTGTAAGCTGTGAAATTAATGGTGGCCAAGATTCTTGGTTCATTCTTGAAATCTGCTTAACGGGAAAGATGGAGGAGAGACATTTGTGTGCTGGGGAGTGATGAAGTCCTTGAAAACGCAGTTGCAGAGTCCACCAACAAAACTGAGTGTGTGGCAGAGAATGTGTGTCCTGGGACAGGGCGGCGCTGCAGGGAAATTAGACTCCATGGCAAGGGCAATCTGCTTATAGAAAAATGCCCGCACTTCCCTCCTTTTGATGTTTGGCTTCTTGAGCATTTGACTCTTTTGTGGAAGGCTTTACATCAGGCCCGCAAATGAGCAAAGTCCATGATTTGCTTCTAACAAACCACACTGGCCTTAGAAGGCCCTGGCTGGGCTGGTTATTGTCATTACCTTTGGAGACCTTGGACCAGTTACATAACGTCATCCCTTTGTGGGGCCACGGTGAAGCCTAACTGGGATGGGGTGCTGGTGAGTGCCTATCACCATGCTGCGCCCGTGGTGGGCTTTTGTCAGTGCAGGTTAATTGGTTCTAGACTCTCCATCTCTTGCCCATGTCTTTGGTCCAAAGGGCCCTCTGCTTTTAGCCCTGCCCTTGGAATGCACTCATTCCTGAGATCTCAGTTTCATAGTTCACTAGAGAGTACCTAGACCTAGAATCCTGGATGGCATAAAAGTCACTCACTCTGAGCACCCACTGGGTCTTAACTGCTTCTTACCTACTTTGTGACAAGCACTGTAGCCTGGCCTGTCCCTCCACTGAGCCATTGCAGACTGCCACTCATATTCGAGCCAACCTTGGCATTTTGTCACATTTAGGGTTCTTTTCCCTTGGCTTTTTGTCTCAGAGTCAGTCCTAACCCCTGAGATATCTGTAAATCCTGGGACCCAGACTCACCCTGAAGGAGCTCTCTTGGTGGGTACGAGCCACTGGTTTGGGGCAGTTAGGACGCCAAAGCTGCTCTGCCAAGGGAGGCTGAGGGCAGGGCAGGAGAGAGGGATAATGGCTTGGAAAGAAAGCTGCATTTCTAGGCAAAGAGCCTTGGGACTTGGACCCTGGTGGAAGACCGGGATTGTTAAGGCATCCTGGGGAAGGACCCCAAAGGAGCCTATGATGAACTAGCTCCAGGGCACAGAAGTGAGAAGGAGCCTAAGTGGACACACATCCGCTTCCCTTTCTATTGCCAGGATACAAGGTCTGTCTCTGCAGTGGTAGATGATTTTCCAGAGAGCTGCCTGGACTGGTGCTGCTGCTGCTGCTGCTGCAGATCATTTATGCCTGCCTGTTTTTAAATAGCTACACCAGATTTTCATTTTTCTCTAACAAGGATTCATCCAGCTTGCGCCTGACAATGGAGGGGAGGTGGAAAATAAGGCCCTGCCCTGGCTTGTACCACTCTCTGCTGCCCGCAGAGCTCACCAGCCTCACTGTGGCCCTTTGATGCTCAGTCTGAGCTCTGATAGAACCACAACGCCTATTGGTGCTGAAAAACCAACTAAGCACCTCCCTCCTGTGCCTATCACTTCCAGGTTGTGATGACAAGCCCAGGACTCCCCTGTTTGCATTTGCTCCATGTCAGGCTCACTGTGCTTCACAGTAAAGCTTCAAGGAATTTTGGTCCCTGGAAGCTGGTGGGGGGGCTGTGTCACTCTTGTGACAAAGGAGGTGGCCGAGACTCCCACCTGCCCTCCTTGCCTGATATAGCCACATTCCTATGGGTATTCTGGTTCCATTACAAAGAGTTTGGGAACTTTCATAATCAAAGAAGACTCAGTTGCCAGATGGACTTGGAACAAATCACTGAGCTTCTCTGAGCCTCAGTATCCTCTCCTGTTGGATTATGATAATCATACATGACTAGGAGGAGATGAACCAGGAAATGTAAGTGCAAATTTTTAACAAACTGCGAACCCTTAGACAAATGCATGTTAATCATTGTTTGCTTGTGCATAACCCACACCGTTGGTATTTTTTTTTTCATGTTTTGAGACAAGGCCTCCCTATGCAGTTCAGGCTGGCCTTGAACTCACTTTGTAGCCCAGGCTGGTCTCGAACTTGCAGCAATCCTCTTGCCTCAGCTTCCTGAGTGCTGGGATTTTGGGTGTGCACTACACCTCTTGGGATGGTCTCCATGTATTCACCCAGGCTGATCTCTAACTGATGGCCTCCAGAGATCTGCCCTCTTTGGCCTCCCAAGTAGCTGAGACTACAGGTAAGTGAGCACCACTATCCTTGCTTCATGGAATCATTTTTAGACTACTTACCTAGAAGCTAGAATGATATCTTCTTCCTCTAGTTTGAAACTGATCTCTGCAATAACCTTAACTTATTTTATAATTGTTGCTTTGCACATTAGTCTCCAAAGTCTTCTACTGACCTCTTCTTTGGAATAGTGGTTGTTTTATCCATTCAGCATAAGTAAATCTTTTTCCTTTCTTGGTCTGCAGGGGTGGAGGAGGGAGCTCCTATTTGATAAATGAAAGAACTGAGGAACTGGGGAACTGGGCCAGGAGCCCTCAGACGTGGCCACCAGGGGGCAGCCAAGTCCTTCCTACGTCTATGGACTCAGGTATGGCTTAGGCTCTCAGAAGTAGAGAGAGGGTCCTGGGGAGATTTGCACTCTGGTGGGCCTACAGTCTAGGTTGCAAATTCTCTCTTTGTGTTTGGTACCAATTCTGTGCAAAGGCAGGACCATTCCCCCATGGTGTCCTGAGTCCCTACAGCTCCTAGAGCCTAAGTAGCCAAGATAACCCCTGGGAGAGACCTGATGAACAAACAGAGCCCACACATAGGTGTGAGTCCCTGAGCAGGCACATCCCCTGGAGCTCCTGGACTCCTTCACGGAAGTCTGGCCACTCACTTACTCTCATAAGCAGCGTAGCTGAAAAGTGTCAGATAACATGGGACCTGGGATGCAGGACTGGTCTGCCCACTGATCTGCTATGAGCCCCAGGCCAGCACCCTCCCTCTCTGGGCTTCCTCTTCCTTATCTATGAAATGAGAGTATTGGGCCGTCTGGCTCTGCCATCAATTCTTTGTGTCTCTGGGGTATGGGGTAATTCAAGTTCAAAGGCTGTGGGTAATCTGGAGAAGTCTCAGCCTGGACTGGAACGGAACTGGAATCCTAAGGAGGGATGCCTGCCACCTTTGGCTTTTTGTCTGAGCAAAAGTCCAGCCTCGCTTGGGCGGCAGGGGCCTGTCACACACTGCCCTGGATCTGAGAAGGCTGTTAGTAGCGGGAGGGGTACGGTCACTTCCCATTCTGTGCAGAGACATTTCCCGGGTGGGAGCACGTCAGCATGTCTCTCCTGTCCCAGTTGTCTTATGCTCAGGCCCCACAGGGTCTCTTCTGGCCATCCATGTTGCCATCAGCAGGGAGGGTAAGGACCCGGGGCATACTCGCTGGCCTGGGACCCTGGCTACAAGCAGAGCCTCGTGATGGAAGGACCCCCACCTCAACCCCTGCCTTTCACCTCCAGGAGAGGAACAGGCCAGGCAGATGAGTATCTACCCAAGCTCAAGCTGCTGTCGCAATAAGAGAAGAGATGTTTCTTTATGATTTTCCCCTTGAAATAAATCCGGAGTTAAGAACAACAGAAACACGCAAAATGTGTTTTTAGTGGAACCCAGATGGAGGGCTGGGAGCCCAGCAGGCTGTCTCCACAGAGGGCTCTGGTCTCTGGAATTCTAGCCTCTCCTCCTCACCCCACCCCTAGAAACAGACCCCCTCCCCAACTTTGGGGCCAGGGCTCTTCTGCCCTGGGTGGCTCCTCAGGCTATCTTCTTGGTGATGTGTGCAGATGGGCGGTGTGAGCTCCCTACCATCCCTAGACAGGTTTGTCTGGCGTTCAGTGAGATCTGTGGCTTCAGAGATTTGGGGGAAGGGTGAGGGGATAAGAGCCACTCAATCCAAACACCTGGCTCTGCCCAACGGCAACAAAGAGAGAGTGAATTAAGACATCTGAAAAAAATACTCTAAGGAATTCCACTCACCCACATGGCCCACTGCTTCTCATTAAACAGCTACAGTTCTCCAGATTAACATATGCAAATCCAGTCGTCAGCATGAAGATTTAGGATCCAAAGGCCCTTTCCCCTTCCTCCCATTCTGACCAAAGACGTTCCTGTGGGGTGAAGAACTCTCACTAGTTCCTTGCTGATTCTACTAAAACAACACAGGTTTTGAGGTTTGTGGCCATGGGATCCCCTTTCCCAGAGGGAAAATACGTAAGAGGTATTGCAAGGGAAAAGGATGCAGAAGCTTCTTCTAGAAAGTGGTTCCAGCATACACTCCTTGATGCCCAGTGTATGGGGGTCCCCAGATACATGGAGGAAAAGCCAAGAAGAAGGGACTCGCCTCAGCCGGTGTGTGGTTCAGTAGGGAAGGGAGGAGAAGGAGAAGAGACTCCGAGGTTATAATTAAACGGTAGATGGAGGAAGCTGAGTTTGGTCATGGTGCAGCCAGCGAAGGGTCGGCTGGAGGGAGGTGACACTCGAGAATGCAGTTTGGGAGCTGCCAGAGTGGATGTGGCACACAAGTCCCCCGGAGAGGAGAACAGAGGGTTAAGAGGGTGTGGAGTGTGAGTGTCCCCTTAAATAAGGATGTAAAAAGGGAAGCCATGGAAAGACAGATGAGCCTCTGAGGCCATGGTGCAGTGGGGAAGGAAGACGACAGAGGAGGTGGGGAAGAGGGAGGTTCCTGGGCAGAGGTGTGGGTGTTGCAGGCAGCTGATTTAGTCAGAAATACTATAGGCAGTGAGACCCGGCTGGGTCCTCGATGGAGCCAGTACACAAGCTCAGATGCCTTGCAACTGCAGGGAAACAGACACCTCCTGCTCTGGGCCAGGCCTCAATACAAAAGACCAAACAAATACAACCATATCCTGAGGACTGGCATTCTAAATAGCTCCCTGTCACCCTAAGAAAGTCAGGAGTCACCATTCTGACTCCCTAGGGAAGAGTCACTGCTCCCTAAGAATGCTCGCTTCCCATTTGTCCCTAATGTAATCAATTTTACCAGAAATACTAATCTTATTGGCCAGCCACAGTTCTGTCCCACCTTATGCCCATCTGCTTTGTGAATTCCCAGTCTGTCGTTCTGTCCCCCGCCCCTGCCCCGCCCCCAGCCTTGAACCCATGGTTTTACTCTATAAAGTTCCTGGAAAAGACAGAGTCCTTGGCAGCCCAACTCAGGAACCCTTCTGTCCCTCTCAGGCAGAAGCTTTCTTTCTCTCAATAAATATATTCTACTCTTACCTCCGTTGTTCCTAAAATTCATTCTTGGATTTTAGAGAACACGAGCTTGTGGACATAGTAGGTCAGGAGATTCATTCCCCTATACCATGGGAGCCAAGGATGCATGTGCCCTCTCACCAGGGCACAACACAGAGCCCAGGGCACAGTGAACTCTGGGTGAGGGGCAGTTGTTTCTCTCTTTCCCCCATGGATAAGAAAATGGCTAGGGAATGGTATGCTTCTTCCGGTAGTAGATATTTCTTGAACTCCTACTATGTGCCAAGCTCAAGAGAGCAAAAGACATGGCTCTGCCTTCCTCTGTTGGGGGGGCGGTGCCGGGTGGGGGGGGGGAACCTGCACTCTGCCTTCCTGAATGGATCACAATGGTTGTAGGATGCTCTTCGCATGGCACCCCCTGGCACAGGACACAGACAGGGCCTGGAGAGTGTGTGGCCCTCCTCTGTGTCCTCTGGAGGTGCCCCTGACCCCAGGCCCTGCCTGGTATCTCAGAAGGGTGCTTTCCTTCTGAGGACACAGGGGCTGTCACGGGAGCAGCAGCCCTTTGCGGAGGGAGGAGGTTTGCATTTTCAAAGGCAACTATTAAAGAACAAAAAGCTTTTCCTGTCAGAGGATTCTGGAATGATTGTAGAATGCCAAACAGCTCAAGAGAGGTGAGATTTTTTTTTCTTTTAAAGAAGGACAGAAGTGTCATTCGGGCTTCGCAAATCACTCAGAGCCCATTTTTGTATTTTGCTTCCTCTCATATTGGGGTCAATCCTGCTTCCTTCTAGATGGTCTCTCTCTCTCTCTCTCTCTCTCTCTCTCTCTGTCTCTCTCTCTCTCTGTCTGTCTCATTTTTCTCTTTTTCTTTTGCCTCCTTTGGTAGCTTCCATCTGTGGGGAGTCAGAGCTGAGTAGAAGCCCCAAGGGATCCCCTGGGGACAGGCCTGTTGTCCCTGTGTCACAAGCTCCTAGCGTCCTGCCTGACACATAGTGGGCCCTCAGTATGGCCTTGTTGGAAAGAAGGAAGGAAGGAAAGATCAAAGGTAGGAAAAAGGGAAAGGGAAGGAGATAAAGAGGGAGAGAGGAAGAGAGGAAGAAAGGGAGGGAGGGGACAGTGTAGAGTTCCTTTTTCACTCTCCTTTCAAGGCCTAGGGAGGGAAGGCCTCATGCCACCATGATCGGGAAGGGAGGCCCCACAGGGAACCAGCGCAGGGCCCAGCAGCAGGCAGGAAGGCGCTGGCCCTGTCTGAGCCTCACCTCCCACTCTCAGCCGTGACACTCTGACGGAGTGAAGCCAGGCGCTGCCCCCTGGGACCCTCTCACACGAGCCCTGTTCCATATGCATGGAGGAGCGGGGCCAAGAGTGGAAGGAAGTGCCCAGACAGAGGGAGACAGAGTATTAAAATTCCTCCGGCAATTCCTCGGGAAGGGGTTTACGGTTCCTAACTGACCATAAACCCTCTCTCCTGACAGGTCTTGGAACACATCACTCCGCTGCTCCCCGAGCAGCTGACACATAGCAGTAACGCTTCTCCAAGAGCCAGGGTCTACTGATTCCAGGGGAGACGGGAGGCGGGCAGGGAGCAGCTGACGTGGCCTTTGTCCCCTGGACCTCAGAGGTCACAGGGGCAGACGCTGGGCCCCGCACTAGCCCCTGGGAAGGGCCATCAAGTGCACCCTTGAGTCGCCAGCCCCTGCCTGGAAGGTGGTTTGGTAACTGCCTGCCTCTGGGTGGAATTCGATTAACCTAGAGAGGGAAACTCATTTTGTTCCCACTGAAAGCTCTGAGTGGCGTGTCGCGTATGTCTTTTATTAATAAAATAGAGAAAATGGAGTCATTATTACTGAATAATTGTAGATCCTTTGCTAGGCCAACTCTTTCAAAGCCTAGGTGCCGCAGGTGGGGCAGGGAGAGGCGATAACACGGGACCTTGATCTGAACTGCTCGGGAACCCCCTGTGTAGGAGGCGCCCTGTGAGTGACTCTTACAAGACTCAGAGCAAGGTGGGCGGGGAACCTCTCCCAGCTACCAGACTGCACCGCAGCCTTGGCGCCAGCTTCGGGAATCAGGTGACTTAGAGCAGGGCCCTACTCTCCGGCATGCTCCATTTCTTTCCTTCTTTTTTTTTCTTTTCCCTTCAGGAAATCAGAGCTCATATTCCCACCTTGCTTAGCTCACAGGGCTGCTCTAAGAATCAAGTGACATCCACCATGAATTCTTTACTTCCTTCGCTTACTCAACAATCACTCAGCAATCGATGCTGGATATTGTGCTAGGTGATGAGATGCAAAGAGGACTAAAATTCAAACCTTGCCTTCAAGGAGTCCACAG